TCAAGTCAGCACCAAGGACACTTTCAGCATGCATCCTTTGTCATCTTCTATATCTACCATATACTAATTGGTTGTACTATGAGATTGGTGGAGCCTCAATCATTTTCAAAGTACCTAGAATTTCAACAGAGATCAAATATTTAAAGGGTCGCTCACTTCTCCTCTGTGGCAAGGATAAATTTGTGCAACAACTCATTATAATTTTGTATTAGGATATTACATAGTTATAACTGATAATAAAAAAAAAAATTCTCTCTTTTTTTACATTATTAGTCGACATGGCGAAGAAAAAAAATACTTTTACTATTATAACTATGTACTATTTTTAATATATAGTTATAATGAGTTGTTGTAAAAAATTTCTCCATACAACAACATTAGAAGTGATTGTACCATATTTAAAATGTCAAATTGTAAATTGTCTCCTTTAATTTTATTAAATAAGTCATCATAATTTTAACATTTTGATAATTAACTTATTTCTTAATGTGTAAAATAACTTTATTTTTATTCCACAATTTTATTTTATTTGTTAAGGCAAGTCAGTTCTTTGAATGTATTTTGCAACCTGAGTAAGAAAGAAACCTATAGAAATATAAAACTAATTCTGAAGATAATTATCCAGTTCTAAGCTTAAAGGTTCACTCCTAGAGATTCCAACCATGGCATTGTAAGTAAAATAACCTGGTTAAATATCAATTAAAAGCATTGTAATTTATTTGTCAAATGTCAAGCATTAAAAAGTTTTAACAAATTAATTGTTAAAAAAATAACATAATACTGTTTGCTACATTTAAATTTAAATGGAATATTTCCCATAAACGGTATCATCACTAAATAATATTTGTTAAAAATTCAAAATTGAATAGAGTAACTTGAATTTTAACTCAACAAAATACTAAATGTTTGTAACTTTTTAGGAGCGTTTGGTAGAGGAGAAAAAAAATTTTACCAGGGAAATGTAATTACTAAGGATATGATGGGAAATGAAGTTTGGTAGGAAAATTAGAAAAAAGTTGTTTGGTTAACCAAAATTTTACTGGAAAAATTGAGTAAAATTTTATAAGTCTTTGTTTGGATGAAGGTAAAATATAGGTGGAAAAAAATGATTAAATTACCACAACAATCCTTGAATGAAATAAATGGGAAAATGTGATTTTAGTTTGTTGTAGTTTTCTCAAACATCAAGGTCATTTTGATCTCCTTGCTTGCAATTTTTTTTGAATTTCCCCATCTATCAACAAATATCACCTTGTAGGTGGTAGTTATTCAACAATATTTTTTACACACAAAAAGCAAATACTAGACAAATGAGTTTTCTAGCAAAAAAATTTAAAACATGATATCAAACATGGACATCCAAAAATACCACTTTCATTTACCTATCTATCGTTAACAAAATCTTCTACCAAACACAACCTTTTTAGTATTCTAATAGCTCCTTTTCAATATGTGTTGGAGAGGATTTCCGTTCACGTTTGCTTCTACCAAGTGTGGCGCATACGGGCTCTTGCCCGTCATTTGTACAAAAATAAAAATATAAAAATAAATAAATAAAGTATTGTGTGATTAAAAGAATTATGGTTAAATAATATGTATCGAGTTACAATAGTTTACAACTTTTTTAATTTCGTTCCTATTTTGAGTTGACACACACACACATTTATATTTATTGATAGGCCGTCAATGTTATCTAGAAGTCAAATAATTATTTTGCGTCTCATATTTTATACACTGATTAAATTATAAAATAAATTTCTCATCAATGAAGAAAGCAAAAGCGAACTTTGGTACAAAGACAAAAAGCGAATATTTCCAATTTTCTGGGTGATTCATGAATGATAATTAATTCCATTGGTAGACTTCTTCACTGATTAATTATTTCGATTTGCTAAGATCCTTTGTCTAAGATTTTGAGGATAAGACAAACTTGGAAGAAAGGGAATCACTTCCCTGAGTTCTAAATGAAGATGCCGTACATATATGAACTTAAGATTAATACAACGAATCTTTGACGAGCGTTAAGTTGGTATTTGCTGTTCTAAACAATAGTTTTCATACAATAAATACGTTGCTTTGTTTTTGTTTTATTTGCCGAACATTTATTCCCACTATCATTGTAAAAAACTATTTCAAGTCAAACTCTAAGGTATCGAGTGAAGTTTTTTAAATAGTTTATATTATTCTCTAATAACACATCCTTTCACGTAAGAGTACCCTTTGAGCTTGAAGCGGTGAGGATCGAACTCATAACCTTATAATGGTCATTGAAACTTTGATATTATGTGAAGAACCACTTCACCCCAAACCTTAAGGTTTTGGATTAAAATGATTCTTCACGTGTTAGAGAATAATATAAACCATTAAAAAGACTTCACCCAACATCTTAAGGTTTTGGGTTGAAATAGTTATTTACATGTTATCAAAGCTTCAATGACGCCAAGGTCACGAGTTGAATCCTTACTTGCTGTCCCCACTTGTGGAATTAAATAAGAATAAGATAAACTAACAAAAAATGTGGGCCCATACAATATCACGTTTCAAGTTCAAAATGCTCTTGTGTGAGGGTTATATTAAAGAATAATATAAACAATTAAAAAGGCTTTCATCTAACAATTTTAGATTGAAGTGGTTCTTCGGTGCATCTTAAATAAAGACGAGTTTGATGTTTATTATTTAGCGGATGTTCTTGGCTTGGAAAATAGGAGTTTTAGCATAGATTCGATACATAGATATATGGGATATATTTTTCTTATGTTGTAGGAAAAGAATTACCTCATGTTGTAGAAATAAAGGTATAAGTGGGACCCACGTGTAAGAGGAGAGAGAAAAAACAAGTGGTGGGACCCAACTCCTTTTTGTGTGTGTAGGAGAGATGTTTATCTCATGTAAAATGAGATAAACATAACCCTAGATATATATAGGTTATTTGATGATATGCTAAATGCCGCTACAGATGCAACAAAACATGCTTTCAAATTACTTTATTAATGTTCAACTAGCTACACTTGTTTACTTTCCCCCCAATAATTAGGACAATTTATTAATCAAAAATGCTAGGTGTGGGGCTAATGAACTTGTTTTCGACCACGAGAGCGCAAACATAAATAGATCATTTTGTGGAAAAAAATATGACATTATCATATGAGAAGATCACAATCATAGAGAGATAAATCAATGGTTATGATTTTGTAACTATTTATTATAATTTTTTTCTCTTCTTTTATCACCATTGATCTACCTTTGTATGATTATTATTCTCCACATGATCATGTCATATTTTTTTTTCACATGAGAAGATCTAGATCCGTTTGACACATTAATGTCCTCCATGTATATTTCCCAAGTTAATTCATTTTAGGTGTTCATTATCATAATCATAACTTACGTACAAAATACATACGCTACGTATAGGTATATATGTAATAGGCAATCCCCCAAGTATGTTTGGTAGTGTTTGTTACGATAAAAACTTTAGTGTGTGGGTGTGGGGGTGGGGGGTTATCTTTTTGCCCTTTTTAGTAAAAAGGATCACCAAGTTCGGTGATTCCCAACCATTAAAATTTCTCTCGTTTATTGTGATCCTCTCATTGATAAATAGTGATTTGCCTTGGACAGACATAAACATTAATTTCTTGTTTCTTAGAGTTTCTAGTCTACTTTGTCAAAGACATTATATATATATATATATATAGAGGTAGGATCCTTTGACACTGATGTCAAATTTAAAGTTTGACACCTCATCTGAGAGTTGTTAGATCAAAAAATACCAACGACTCTGATTTGTAAGCATATGACACCATTGATATTTTTTGATCTAACGGCTCTCAGATGAGGTGTCAAACTTTAAATTTGACACCGGTGTCAAAGGATCCTACCTCATATATATATATATATATATATATATATATATATATATATATATATATATATATATATATATATATATATATGGGGTTTGATTTTCTTATATTGCATGAGAATTCAATTTTCATGTTGTGACTCAACTAGTGGTGGGTCTCACATTTATTAAAAAAAAAAAAAAAAAAATTGCACGCAAATCGAAAGGTCACAACATGAGAATTGAATTCTAATGCAACATGAAAAAATGTTTTCCTTATATATATATATATTGGGAAAAATAAATTTTATGTTGTAAGAGAATTCTAATCTCATGTCATAGATACATCAAGTGTGGGATCCACCTATTTAAAAAAAAACAAAAAACAAAAAAATGAATGGCACACTTTTTTATGATGTGTGTAAGAAAGATTTGTTTTCTCGTATGAAAAGTATTTTTACAGCCACTTTAGATAAGGTTATCTACAGCTACCCCTTTTTAACTAAGTACGACCGGTCGTACTTAGTTATAACAATAAAGCTGATCTTTTTTTCTCTCTCCTCAGACACTGTCGGCTGACGTGGCGGAGAGAGAAAATGCACTTTTAATGTACGACCGGTCGTACTTAGTTAAAAAGGAATAGCGGTAGACAACCTTATCTAAAGTGACTGCAAAAATATTTTCCCATATATATATAATCTTATTCTCTATTTCAACTATTGATCTCGTGTCTCCAATATATAGTTACAATTTATTAGGAATTATTAATTAATTAATTGATATAATTTAATAAATTACCATTGTTAGATATGATATATCAATGATTGAGATTAAAAACAAGATTTTTTATTTTTATACTGGAATGAAAAGATCCCTCGTTGCACAACTTCGAAACTTTAAGATTAGATGAGACACAATCAACTGTGAAAATATTAGCGATGATATAGTTAATTACAAGGTTATGCCAATAATCAATATTTATAATTGTGTTATCGATGACGATAGTACGATACCAATCTAGCTATCTGAGTAGATGCTATACATTTAGTAAATTAAGAGACTCTATGTCAATATTCAATCATTTTTGTTGTTGGTGATAACTCTATGACACTAAGCTGATTTGAACACTATTGACATATACATAAAGCACAAGTAATAATTATTGGCATTTCATTAGAATAGTTGGTGAGAATTGTGAAATTAGATCATCTTCACGAAGCTTTATGGCCTCCTCCTCCCGAAGCGTCACCATAACAACCCTACTTAAGGGGCCCTCCCCTGGAGGTGCTGGCAGAATCAAGAACTGCCCTTCTCCCAAAACTGGCTCTATGTAATATGAAACACGAATGGGTTTGAACCAATCTTGAAATAAAGCTAAATAAGGGTCCACACCCTCTAAGCTAGTAAAGACCAAATCATTACCGTTCATCATTGCAGGCGAGTTTATATCATTATGTTCAAACCACTCAATTAGATCCATTATTCCCTCCACGTCCATTTTATCCACAACATCTCTTATGGCCCTAGCAGCTTGTGGAAGTTTGTTCTCTCCTATATTCCCTTCTGCATGCACCTCATTATATAACATACAGTTTCCAAAGAACCCATAATCTAGGCCCAAGACTTTCCTCACATCAAGACATATAGACATGTCAACAAGTCCATTTCTCAATCCCTTGACCTTGCTTAAAGTGACCCAAAACAACCCTGCCAATGCCTCAAAGGGTGTTGGGCTGAATGAACCAGTAGGTTGGGCAGCCATGGACATGCAATCCTGAACCATGGTGTCTGAGAAGCCCAGTGAAATGGTAGCGTACTTTGCTTCCTTGATGGAAATGGGTTTCTCAATTTTTGATTTATAGTGATGTATTAACTCCATATATGGGTGATGATTGGGCTTTGTGTTTCCTAGTCTTCGAGGAGGTAAAGGGTGGAATATTGGAGGAACAATCATTTTGTTGCCCAATGAAATATCAGCCCAGGCCTTGATGAAATTTGTGGCACAAATGGAATCTGCCAAGAGATGAGCACAACTTAAGCCAATTGCCAATCCACCTTCTTCAAATTCAGTAAGCTGAAATTGACATCAAATTTTAATAATAAGAAGTTAGCTATACACACTAATATAACAACCTCTATGATCTTTGATTTTTTTTTTTTTAATATTATTCATTGATTACTCGATTAGTCTGATTCGAGCAGAATAGGATCACATGAACAGCAAAGTTCGAAATCATTTGTTTCTTTTCTAATAAAAAAGAAAATATAACCTGGACATAAAAAGTTGACCAATAATAAGGATTGGGAAGCATGTCCTCCCAATAAACAAGCTTGAGTTCCTTTTCCCTATGCACACTTGTTAGCCAACCCTCCACACTCCCTTTGGCTTTTGCCTCCATCATTCTAACACCAGCATCATTGCACTTGATTTTCCAATGCCCTTTGTCGTCTCTTATCAACCGACCAGTCACTATGGGGAAATGGGTAAGCATCTCTGACAAGGTCTCTCTCAACTTCTTTGTCATTTCTCCAAGTTCTACCTCTCCTGAAGTTTGGTAATAGAACACCATCCTAATGTGGTTGTTCTCCATGTAACGATCCAAAACTGATAAAGGGGAGTACTTTCCTGGTTGAACTGGTTTAGTGCTCACCACAGTTCTTTTGCAGATATAACTTACTTCGGTGGCCATTTTTTTTATATGGGATAGGATACATAAAACACTACGCACGTACCTATTATAGTAGTTGTAGTGGCGGAATGAATTTGGCTATGAATCTATGATAATGATGTTATGTATGGGGTTTAATACACATAGGCTAGTTTTACGCACAAATCGCATGGATTTCAATTCATGGGAAAAATTGAAATGAAAAAGTGCATATAAATCATGTATTTCAGAGGAAACAAAAACTCCGTGCTTACCAGAAAAACAAAGTACCCACCAATGCATGGGGCAATGATATTTTCATGATCCGTGAATATTAGCTTATTTGGGGTTTATCGTATATGCATGCAATTTGAGTAACAAAGACCAATGTACCACACACTGATCACTTTTTTACCAGAATGCTACGCGAACAATAATATTTGCCAAAATGTCATGTGTCTGAGTTTGTTATAACAGACAATGAACTCGGTTTGCTGATGTGACATATTTTTAGTGGCCACCTAATTCGCTATTGGGTGTAGCCAATTAGGTGTCAATTAATATCCCTCTGCTTTTATAAAAGCAGAACACGTGGCAGTGTCACGAAAGTTCACTAGGGGTGATAGTGAACTAAGTACACAAGTTTGCTACACTAACTAGCGAACTATGTGCAACTTGTAAAAATATTTACTTCTAATAACCTATAAAGGACATTTTGTCATATTGTTTTTGCAAAATTGCTACTGAGTAAACTGACAAGGATGATGCTATTATATTTTTTGGACTTTTCTCTTTTCTGTGCTATTTTGCAGTTGAGTAGACTATCTATTTTTACAAGTTGCATGTAGTTTTCTATTTAGTGTAGCAAACTTATGCATGTCAAACACATATTCAACGGCTATTTTTACCTAGTTCGCTATGCCCTCTAATGAACTTCTTTGACATTGCCATGTGTCCAGTTTTTGTCAAGATAGAGGGGCATTAATTGTCACCTAGTTCACTACACCCAATAGCGAATTAGGTGGCCATTAGAAACACGCCACATCAACAAATCGAGTTCGTTGCATGATATAGCGAACTCAAACAAATGATATTTTGCTTGACACTTTTGTATGGTGACATTTTTTTACAATTATTGTTTACCATTAGTCCGCCAAAAAGATTAATATGGTGACATTTTAATTTTTTAAGAGATTTATTTGATAATAAAATGTTTAGAAGACTTAATAATATTTTAGATATTTAACTACAAGAAATTTCATTTATTGTGATGACATAAATCGTCATTAAAACATATAAAAATCGTCACTAAGGTATTTTTGTGATGATAATTCAATTTGTCAACATTCGTCACTATTAATCAAGTCATTATTAAATTAGTGACGTTATTTTTAAATGTCACTAAATAATATATTTATTGTGACCATAATAATGTCACTGAAATTTATAAATAATAATGACAAAAATAATCGTCACAATAAATACAATAACAGTGATGATTTAATCTCACATTATAGATTTTGTAGTGACTAATTAATTGTCACTATTTTAAAAATATCAATTATTTAATTTTTCATAATGGTTAATAATTTTTATCACTAAAATCTATTTGAAATGGTGATAATTGATTTAGTTGTAGATCACACTTATATTGTTACACGAATGTAATAATAATTATTTTTCTATTTAAATAAATTATAATTAATGCCAATAAAAAAGTAATAGACTTTTAATAATAATTTAAATATAACAAACTTATAAATTAGAAAAAAACTATAAACCTGTTAATTACAAGATTACAAATTCCAGAATTCCTAAATTACAAAAAAAAAATGCACATAAATGTTACATTAAAAATCTTTGAAAGGATGGTGGAAAAAAAAAAAAAAAAAAAAAAACTCCCTAATGTTTCTCCCGTTTTACAAGCCTCTTGACTAGAACATTGGAATCCAGTTCCTTGAAAACCATCACCTTCACTTGTTCAACATATATCTCAATGATAAAAACCTCTGCAAAATTACCTGTTAAATAAGCAATCAAATTAGTAATTCAAGATATGGCTAGCAATATGAGATTATATTTTTCTTTAGATAATAAAAGGGAAAAAATTAAGCTTTTCGGAGTAAATGTGTCTCTACATGCTAACATCACTTATTTTTTCTCTAGAATATGTGTATATTGAATAGATGCGTACCATTAATCTTCTTAACTTTGTGCTTGCACCCATCGCAATATATGCTCACTTTAAGACACATTTCTGTATACACAAGCAGTTCCAAAACCCAAAATAGAATAAAGAGAAATTTCGTTGTAAATAAGAAGAATTAAAATGGGATGACAGAGATGACATACATACAAGACCGAAAAAAAATAAAAAAATAAATCATCAATCAATAGTTTCAAAATAAACAGTTCAAGTAAGAAAGTTGAGGCTTTGACGAAAGTCGTGGAAGATGTAATAATGTACCTGCATCTTCAAAAACTTTCCTTCACTCATGTGTTATTCCCCAATGGACCAAAGACGGGTAAGATAATTCTCTACTTCAATCGCTTCTACTCATATGCATCGTTGTTCTCCATAGCTTTCTTTCTTGAGTGGTGAAGGTAATGGAACGAGACAAAGAACAGTACAATGAAAATAAAACAATATGTTATCAAAAAAAAAAAAACAATATTCAAAATTTGAATATTAGAAACTAGAGATGGCAGTTTGTTGGGAACAAACCAAATATATGGGGCAGTTACCACTAAAACCTCCACGAAAAAAAAAACTCAAAATAGATTTAGAACCAAAACAAATTTTTTAAAAATATTTAACTTTACAATTTGAAAACAATGAGTAGTTTGTAAAATGAAAAAAGCATTCACCTCACTCCCGCTTTTTTTTTTTACTTTTTATAAAGCAAGCTTTTGAAAAAAAAATTCATTTGCCTTAACGCGGGTTTTTATTTTTTTTCCTTCCTTTTTTTTTTTCAAGTACACTCTATTTTAATTTTGGGGCTGCTTGTTAACTGTTTTGTAAAATAATATTTTGTTTTTAAAAACAAAAAAAATAAAAGAACTTGATTGAAGAGACTGTTTTCATTAAAAATCGTTTTTGTTTTTTTGGTTTTAGAAACAGAAAAAGCAAAACAACACCAGGGTATTTTCCAAGGTTATTTTCTGGTTTTTTGTAAAGTGTGGTGGCATTTTCGTAAATAAGGAGATTCATTAATGGCATTTTTGTAATTAGATCGATTTTTATTTTATTTTACATTATCTTGTAATGGCAATTTTGTAAATACGAGGATTCTTTAATGGCATTTTTGTAAATAACTACATCTTCCTTATAACTTCAAAACTAACCATATTCAAACAAGTTTTATTATTTTTTTACTCTCAAAATCAGTTTTCAAATTTCATTCTCAAAACAGGTTTTAAAAACAAAAAAACAAAAACACATTCAAACACACCCTTATTCTGCACTTTTTTGTTACATTCTTTTTTTTGTAATTCAATTTCTAAGTCAACTAAACTTTTTTTTATTAAATCACAATTAAGTAATTTGGTTTTTAAATCTTCAATCGAAGTTTTTAATGATGACTTCTCGTGGAATACGTAATTTAAATACATGTTTTAAATTAATCCATATTTTCAATTTTTGAAAAATAATTTCATTCTTAAAACTCGAGCATTATCACTAATACCTTTTTACATCTTTAAAATTCTACATTATTGACGATTTTGTTGTAAGAATTTCAAATTTTTTACAAATAATTTATATTAGTGACAAATTATATTTGAGACATAAATATTTTGGTCACTATTAATTAAGTTATAGTGACATTTTATCATTTTGTCATAATTAAACATAATATTAGTGATAAAATAATTTTTTTGTCACAAATAATATATAATTAGTGACAAATTTTATATTCGTCACTATATATTTGTCACTAAAAATAATATTTCTTGTAAACTGATTTATTGATAAAAAATAAAATAAAAATTAAGAACGTTAATGTAGTGACATCATACTCTTTGAAAAACCAAGGGTTCAATCAAAAATCTATAATACGATTGCTTCGTATGTTAGACTTAGAACTACTTCCACGTACGTAGACTATTATTTTTAGAAGAGAATAAGCTCATTTCACCGTGAAGGTTCCCAATGAAGAGTGACACCAAATCACCTTATTATCAACCAGCCAAGTCAGAAGGAGGAACTAAACCAGCAATAGCATGAATGACCATTATTAACTATGAAGATGTTGTAACATTAAATCTTCTAGTTACGTTGTTTGATCATAATTATTCATTGATGATGGAATAAGAGATAAAAAAGTATATAATTTTTAAATAAGTGATAATAATCAAATAATATGACCATATTTTCACACGAGAAGATCCACTCCCTCCCTTTATTGCTACGTTTACCATCCAAATATTGGGATATACTACGTAAATAAATAAATGTTTGTAATGATAGGATTAAAAATATTATAATTTTACGTAACTCTAAGCAATGTTTCGGTTTGGGCCTTTGGTGTGAATAAGTGCTTCTTGGTAGTTTTATATATATATATATATATATATATATATATATATATATATATATATATATATGGGAGGAGTTATATTTATAACCTAAATAGTTTACAAATTCTTACAACCATATCTCAACCGTTGATTTTCGACAATCAACGGTTGTCATTTATTGTGAATTAGTAATTAACTAATAAATTTGATTTGCGAGAATCTTAACCGTTGATTGACAGAAATCAACGGTTGAGATATGGTTGTAAACGAAAATAGGTTGTAAGTATAACATTCCCCCATATATATATGGGTTTTATAATTCTTATTCAACATGAGAATTGAAATCTTCCTACACACCCTCCGATTTTCATGTTGATGTGGGTCTTATACATAGTTTTTTCTAACATATTGGTTCCACATGTTTTTTGTCTCTACAACATGATATTGTAATTCTCATGTAACTTGAGAATTATAAAACCCTATATATATATATATATATATATATATATATATATAAGTTCGCTTTTTCTACCGTCAATGTAGATAACTTATCTACAATGAGCCCAAAATGACGTCGTTTTGAGGCAGAAATCAAGGTATTTTTGTAATTAAAATTTATTTCATGGTTGTAATAAAATTTTTCATTATAATTTTTTAATTTTTCAACCCAAAACGACGTCGTTTTGGGTGCGAATGTAGATAACTTATCTACATTCACTTTAAAAACATTAAAGCCTAAAATATATATATATATATATATATATATATATATATATGAGATATGATCAACTTACACCAGTGTAAGAATAATAAATCTTACACCAAATCTTAACCTTTGATTTCCGTGTATCTAACGGTTGAGATTTATTAGAAATTAAAAATTAATTAATGAGTGAGACCTAATAAATTTTAACCGTTAGATGCAAAAAATCAATGGTTGAGATTTGGTGTAAGACTTATTATTCTTACACCGGTGTAAGATGATCATGCCTATATATATATATATATGGGAAGGATCCGTTTACAAACTTTTTTGACAAATTTTTACAAATTACACTCTATTCTCCCGGGAGAACATAGTGAAACCTAGTGTTCTCCCGGGAGAAGATAATGTAGTTTGTAAACAAAAAAGTTTGTTAATATAACATGCCCTATATATATATATATATATATATATATAAGACATGATATTCTTACACTGGTGTAAGAATTAGAGGTCTTACACTCAATCTTGACCATTTATCCACTTATATCCAATTGCTCATATTACTAAAAAATTAGAGCCCTTAGATATAAGTGAAATCAATGGACAAGATTGAGAGTGTAACTTATACTTGTGTAAAATGATCATGACCTTATATATATATATTGTATTATTCTTATAATGAAGTTTAGCAGCTAAATATAATTTTATAAAAGTTCTAATCATAAAAAGGAAAAAAAAATTATAATAAAGAAAAAAAGTTATAACCTAAAAGCTAGGAGAAGTTTTCTTTTAAGTGTATATCAGCCTTTTAGAATCTTATATCCGTTTTTCAATTATATTCTTATTTTAAACTTTTAATTATAAATTTTATCACTTATCCTAATAATAAATTATTTCTTCTCCCTCCTTTTAAAATCCTTTTTATATAATTATCAAATTTTAGTTTTATTTTTAAACTCTTTTTTTTATTAATTTAACTTAAAATTAATTTTACCTTATTACCAAAAAGAAAAAAAATTAGCTTAAAAAAATTTATCAAACAGGGGTTTTTTTTTTTAAGAAAAAAATGGTGACAAAATTTACAATCACTCCAAGGCCAGCAGTCATTAAAACTCTCCCCAAATAAGGGGTTCTAATTTCGAACATTGCACACTTCATTGGCAGATAGGGGTGAAAGTGGGCGGGGTCGGCCTATAAGAGCTTACGGCTTAACTTATATCAGGTCGGGCTTGACCTATTGCATATAGTCAAATAAACATGCCCGAGTTTTTAAAAAAGCCTAATTAAAAAATAGATGATAGCTTTTTTTTATATGTCAGACCTATAAGCCTACAGAGGTCTATATCATATTATTTATTTTAAATAAAATAAAATAATATTATTCATAGTATTATCAAATGATGATAGTTCAGTTGGTACATGTGAGTTAAATAGGTGATAAAAAGACCTAGGTTTGTTCCCCCACCAATACTATCTTTGAGAGTGACATAAGATCTATACCAATATCTATAATACCATCAGAATCAATATTTAGTGCTGGAGGAAGAGTTATTGATGTCTATCGTTCTAGCTTAGCTAAAGATATCATCCAAGCTTTAGTATACGGCGGAGATTGGCTACGTAATAGGTATGACTTGAAGAAAAAACAAAAAGTATAAATTTAATCAATTGAAATTATTTTATAATTTAATTATATTCGATTAAATTGTAATAGAAATTTGATTTTATTTTTTACGTAAGAGGAACCAACATCTCAGCATGTGAGATTGTTTATATGAATCTATTAAAAGATTTTTTTTCTTAATCTTATTTTTTTGTTTCTATTCTTTATTCTTGTTTTTTGTTTTTACATTTACAAATTGTTTACCAACTTATGTAATCTTGGAATTGTATTTGTAAGAGAGAGAAGATGAAGAGAAATTTTTGGCTACTACAAGCATCATGATGTGTTTATTGAATTATGTAGCTATTTTAATTTACATACTATAGATTTGTTAATTGGATATGATGAAATATATGTTATTTAGTTTGAGCATTTTGTTTTTGAAAGTGACTTAAATATAGATTGTGATGAGTTTTATTGTGATTCATGGTTCTGTTTGGATATGAAATTATGATTTTTGTTTTAGCAACAGAATTTGCGTATTTTGTGGAGTTAATTTATGGTTTTGCTTATAAGTTAAAAATTAACAGGTTAACGGGCTGAACCAGACCATTTTTTTTATAAACGGATCAAGTCAGGTTTACAATTAAACTCATACTAGACTCAGGTTAGGCTAAATTAAATTTTTTTGATATAAAATTAAAAAATTTTAAGACAAAGTTCGGGTCAACCGAGCCCAACTCAATTTCATCTCTGTTGGTAGTGATTTGTCTTGCGGTTTATTGAGTATTGACCTGACCTCTATACCAACCTACTTGCGTATGTCAAACGGGGTCTAATTAGATATCACCACTCGTCTCTAACTAAACGACCCGCCGTTTTGAATGTACATAAAAGCGATACGGCGTTCTGTTCTTTCTGTGGTTAACAGAACAACACCGGATCTCAATCGTTTCGTTCGCAACACAATCACAATGTCGATCTCTACGACCATTGCTGGGCATTCGAGCTCTTGGGCTACGGCACTCGTCATGATCTCCCCTTACACCTTCTCCGCCATCGGCATCGCCGTCGCAATCGGCGTCTCCGTCCTCGGCGCTGCCTGGTACGCCTTTTATTCCCGTTTCTAATTTCCATTGCAGTTTCCTTTTCCGTTTCCGTTCTTCTCACATTCAAATTCGTTTCAATGACACATGAAGGGGGATTTACATAACCGGTAGTAGCTTGATCGGTGCTGCAATCAAGGCTCCCCGAATCACTTCCAAGAATCTCATTAGGTGAAATCGCTAATTAACCTCATCGCAACTCAATTTTCACTCTTTTTGTTTGATTTTTTTTTTAAATATTATATGACAGTTCAGAAGGTTTTATTAATAGAAAAATTATGACAACTATTATTTTAGCTTTGAGTGTGAAGCGATTTTACTATGTATTGGGAGTTAGTTTCTTGCCAATGATCAATGTCAATAAAGGATCATATGGTTTCAAGGGTGTGATTGTCTACTTTTAGGCATGAAGCTTGCTTGGTAATTGCATATGTATGTAGTATTTTAAAATATAAAAATGGGAAAGTACGGAAAGAAGATAGAAAGTTTCTTTCTCCAATTTTCATTCTCCGTTTGAAACCCCCTCCCCCTCCTCCTTTTGGTGCCAGATATAAAAGCTGAAGGATTAATATTGATGATTTACAGTCAAAGTAAGTAAAGTTATTTGAAGTTTATTAATATTTTTTCTTCTTATTTTGGAATGGACATATGCACATTATGCTGGGTGGTTATTTGGGATAGAGATTGTATCGTTTTTGAAGTCAATGAGTAATGAAGTCTAGCACATTTGTGCAAGCTTCAGTATTCTTCTTGTTGATCGAGCATGAAAATACTTGTCACTGAGTGGCATAGTAGTTGGAATTGTAGTTCACACTGTCCCACTGGCTCCTGGGTTTACTGTGGTTCAACCCCCATGTGGGTGTACCAGTGGCATCAATTGGCCACTTCCTATGAAAGACCCAGGCTACTGCTGTGGTGTCTATTGAGGCCATCGATATCATTGAAAATATACTTGAGAAGGTTTACTTGACTTTAGTTTGCCCTCACCCCTACTCTCGCAAGTTGTGGGGTTTCATGGGGAGTTGTTTTTTTTCCCTTAAAAACAAATGGACCAAAGTAATTGACGGCGGGCTAACTAAGGGCCTATTTGATTGTGTTCTGGTTTTTTTGTTCTTAAAACTATTTTGTATAATAGTTATAAAAAAAATTATTTTCTATGCTTTTTTGTTTTGAAAGTTAAAAACCAAAACAAAAATCAAAAATAACCCAGACATATTCTCTAAATTTGATTCTAAAAACAAAAAAATAATTATAGTTTTTTAAATTTTTTTTACAAAACAGGCCTTACCAAATGGGTTTTTTTGTTCTGAAAATCAAAAAGCTGTTTTTGAAAACTGATTTCAAACAAGCCCTAAGTTTGTTATAGGCTTCAATTTGTTTTTGAGGAAAATAATATTACAAAAAGAATTATGTAGGAAATGGCTTCCTAAAAATCATTTTCGGGTAAGATATTTTCCTAGAGAATATTTTCATTTGTAACATTTTTACAGTAAATAATGCATTTTACCGAAATTTTCTTTTGTTGTTTGATTTGTCTAAAAGGTTTTTGATAAAGCTCAACAGTGTCATTTGATCCATTAGCTTACCCTACCTAATGGTTAATCATATAAGGTTTGGTTGTAGTTGTTACTTTTGTTGCTTTGTCCAAAGGAGATTTCTTGTAAATTGTAGCAATCAACTAGGAGCATATTCTCCTCTGACTGTTGCACCAAACTTATGAAAATGATTTCTAAAAAAAATGCTTTTCTGCACCAAACAAAAAATGTTTTCTGGAAAACAGTTTCCACACCAAACACCAAAAAATAGAGAACGATTTTTCTGTAAAACAAGCATAAAGTCTGTGTGATAGTTTTGTGGAGAGGAAATAGCTTTAGCAGTATGTTGAAACAAGTTGAAGCTGAATGATATTTATGGCATGTGACCCTAAAATTTCATTGACTCCTTTGCCTGTGAGGGGTAGAAGGATAGTGAGTGTCTGTGATATCATAGGAGGATTGGATTCAAGAGCTTCACACTAAATAACACTGTTTTGTTTATCAAGTACGATACCCTCCAAATGGAAGACAACGATATCTTATTATTACAAGTAACCAAATGGAGAAAACAAGACAACACACTCAAAGGGAAAGAAACGTAAAACACCCAGAGAGATATTTATCTCTTGTCTCAGAGCCAAGCTCCTCCCTAGCCTCAGAAAACTATCTCCCCTTTCTCACGTTCTCACCTTCCTTTTTATACTTGAATTTCCAGGCAATATTCCAGGGATTGCGCCATGACATTCCCGTGACATTCGCTGCCATTAGCTTCTGCTTTAATTCATATTAGTTGGCGCTGATTCCCGAGTCAGATTCGTCCTATTTTTCCTCTTCTCATAAACTCTCGATGTAATTGTAACCTGGTCACCCCTAATGTGGAGTAATTATGGTCGGTCCTAATAGTGTGGGTTTTCCCCTTTCATTTGGCTTTTAATATAATGATCAATTGATCATACAATGAATGTTCATTTACTCAAGTAACTAAAGTTAAATGGTAAATTAAGGTTGTTAAATTCTGTATTTAATGTAAATTTCAGAATTTCTATTTTGAATGTCTGAAATTAAGACGGTTCTATTTGAGTATTGTGAAGATTCTTGTGATTAAAATCTTCGGTGTGCACTTGGGCTATTTGGAGTTATTGTTGGAATATGGCCCTTAAAAATTTAGTTGCCTTGTATTCAAAGTACCGGAGTGCATCTATGGTAAAGCTCTATGTTTTCTTTTGGCTTTTAGTGCATTGTTTTGGTTAATTTTAAGGGAAAAATCACTTTTTTTAAAGCTCTATCAATAAGATTTTGAGCTCAGAATAAGTTAATCCAAACGCACACTGAATATAATGATCGATTGATCATATAATGATGGCTCATTCACTTAAATCATTGAAGTTATATGGTAAATTAAGGTTATTAAACCCTGTATTTGATGTGAATTTCAGAATTGTCATTCTGAAAGTCTGAACTTAAGATTTTTCTATTTGAATGTTAATGTTTCGTTTACATGTATTATGAATTATCTACATAAAGTATCTTGGCGCAGCTGATATAGTTCCAACTTCCAACTTCCAAATATAAACAATTGTGTGACTTGACAATATTGTTCTTGATGTTTATGGTATTTCAGTGTAATCTTCTGTGAAGCTGTTGCTATATATGGTGTTATTGTGGCAATTATTCTACAAACAAAATTAGAGAGCGTTCCACCATCAAATATCTATGCACCGGAGTCTCTTAGAGCTGGATATGCAATCTTTGCTTCAGGAATTATCGTGGGCTTTGCGAATCTTGTTTGTGGGTGTGTTTTCTTTTTTACCTACACCTTATTATATCTATGCAGGAAATTCCCCTGTTGAATGCAGGGAGACCTTTTCCATCGTGCTGTTACATATTCAATTTTTGTTTTCTGGCAGATTGTGTGTAGGAATAATTGGAAGCAGCTGTGCATTGTCTGATGCTCAGAACTCCTCTCTCTTTGTGAAAATTCTTGTGATCGAGATCTTTGGTAGCGCACTTGGGTTATTTGGAGTTATTGTTGGAATTATTATGTCAGCTCAAGCAACGTGGCCCTCAAAAGTTTAGTTTGCCTTATATCAGAGTGTTTGAATGCAGTTAATATAGAGCCCAGTATGTTGTCTGTACTGCCTGCGATTAAAGTCTTCTCTGTTTTCCCTGTTGGTAGGAATGTAAAATCCAGCGTAATAGCTTGCCTCCATTACATCTTTAGGCTGTATGATTTACCAATGAGTTAGAATGTATTGCGTATCATCAGAAATATTAGTCTGTTGAATTTAAATATTTTTTTGGAGGACTAAATCTTCGGTGTTTGTTCATTTATCAATAAAAATGTTAATTTATTTGGGCTTGTGAATAAAGTCAACAAGCAGATTTTTGAATTCATGTTTCTTTATTTGGGTTCAGAGTTGTGCTAGTGAAGTTCATTTCTTCCTGAGTAAGAAGTTCAAGATTAATGTTCATATTTGATACTCAAATGCATTTTTGATACAGGGATGATAATAAAACTGGCAGGGCCGACCCGACGCGAAAATCGGTCATATAACCAGTTCAGATGAAGTATCGGATTGATCATGCATCAGAATTGGTATGACCCGGCCGGTTTTCATGAAAACCGGTGACCTTTCCAAAAAAAAAATTCAATTTTTTTTTATAATAAACATAATTGAGTATTTTTTATTTATTGACCTACATAAGTTATGTACTTACAACACTAATATTATTTTAATTATGCATTATACAGAAAATTTTGATTTGATTTATAATTAGAGATATCGTTTATTGAACCTGAAGTCCCGCATTACGATTATTATATTTTTATTTGATTCTTTATTGGATAATAAAGTGTGATTTATTAATTTTTATATTAAAATATTTGGATTTTTTATTATTTTTTTAGATATTTGAGTATGTCTATAATTTTATAATATAAATTATAGAATTGTATATAATTATCGGGTCATACGATTAAATCAGTGATCTAGTATCTTGACTGAGTCAATAACCGAGCCAATTTTAATAACATTGACGGATGAGTATGAGATTATATGTCATTTGTTTTGGTAGTTTAAGTGAAAGAATTAGTTTTAAAAAGATAGTGATTAAGACCATGGTAATTAGTATTGCGGATGCGTACCATGTATCGCTCTGTGAGGAGCGGAATCACATAACCTTGAATCACTCTTTGAGATGCGGAATCACATAATTCCATTCAGTATTGCGAATTGTATCAGGATTTGTGATTCAAAATTCAATCTGATTGAATGACCACGAAGTGAGATTTCAAATTATGAAGAATCTGGAAAATTGTTTAACGGGAGATTAGGGATTTTTCAAAATCCCAATTCCGAACCAAATTCAAAATAAAAAGATGTCAATTCAATTTCTTTTTCTTTCTAGTCTTGACTGTTTCTTGATTCTTCTTAATTATTTATTTCTCTTTTGTCCAAGATAGAAACACATAAGAACCAACACTCAATACCCAAAAATTGGTTATAAAGCTATTTGGTTTTTTTTCTTAATTTGAATTTATATGATATTATATACTTTTTAATTTATTAAACAAAGATAGAAAAGTTATTCTCCAATAGCATTTGGATTGTAAATAAACAAGTTTTTAATGTTGATATCCATTAATAAATATTCTCAATGGTATGTTAGGGAAGACTGTACCCTGCATCCAAGTATGCATTTAGTTTTTACCCTTGTTGAATTAAATTTGATAGAACCGCTATTAAAGAAAATAACTTATTGGAAAAATGTGTATCATTTTAAAGGATGTAAAGTTTGTCATTTTAAGTGAGAGAAAGAGATAAATAAAGGAAGAGAGAGAGAGTGAACAAAAAAATATAAAGATATAAATCTCACCTCTTTATGAGAGTGAAAGGATATAAGCTGTGTGATTTAAAAGGACAAACACTTTTCCCATAAATTACATACGAGAATGTTTACTTAATGTAATTTTGTGCGAAAGACTTTTGTTTGAATGAAATTGGTAATCATTTTTTTAAAATAATAATATTATTATTATTGCATGTGTAGTTTGAAATTCATTCTATGTAAAAGTACCCATTTTTCCACTTTAATTTTGAGATTTAAGATGTATTTTATTCTTCTAAAATAAATTTTGGGATGAGATACCAAATAAAATGAATTTGGTGATAAAATCATTTTTGATAGCCAAAATAAAGTTTGAAGCCCAAAGGCATCACATCAGTTATAGGAATCACCTTATTAGTGTACAAATAGTTGTATTGATTGGCGAGTAACAAATCCATCTTCAATGCAGCAATAAAATTTACTACTATAGGCAATCAAATGGAGGATGAAAATGAAGCAAGTGGCAAAGGCAAATCATTGAAAAAAGGTGTGTTCCTCAGCAGCAGCTCCTGGCAGTCCTCTGGCCTTGCTGACTTGGGGTTAAAAGGTTCTCTATCAGGGAGAACCACCAGACCTTGTTTTAAACGACCAAGATGCCTTGCATGCAGAACTTGCTTGGAAGTGACTGGTACCCTTATGAACTCATATTCTTCTAAAGCAGATTCTAGCTTTTCTGCTCCAAACTTCTCTAGGCATTTGCCCAATATTGCTGCATCTAATATTGACATGTTTGTGCTTCTAATGCAGTGAGGAGTAGTAGGGTGAGCTGCATCCCCTACTAATACCACATTGTCCCAAAATATCTTCCCCAAGGGATCACTATCATATATGAAATTTAAGAAAGGTTCCTTTGTTTCTTTTATGACCTTTACCAACTCAGGAATCCAAACTTTTTCTGCTTCTTGGTGCATCTTCTGGATCATGTCACTACTTACTTTCATTGTCACTGAGGTTCCCTGAAAAGTTCCCCCCCCAAATATCAAGATACAGTCAGCAATAGCTGATCTGACAACAGAAGGAAGAAGCATGAATAATGTAGATATGAGATCAAAATGGAGACTAAGATAGAAAACTTTCCCACTATCCTGACAGGGAATTTAATTTTTAGACCTGTGGATTATTATCACTTAGGATACCTCATAATAGAAGTGTACTATGAGAGGAGCAAAGTTACCTTAACTTCAGGCTCTGGCTGATTCACATACCAAATCCAATTGAGCTTTTTGTTTAGAAGCTCATAGAACACACTGTGTGTACCTGAGCCCAAGTCAAAGTACAAGCATTTTCCTATATCAGGGTATGCCTTTTTGATACCGATGATGGTTTCTGAATTCTCATTTTCTGAGAAATCAAGAACACCTCTCCAAGCACAATAGCCTGAATATCTGCAAATGATACTAAAACCTTAGAGGGCCTTCTTCAGATAGAAGGAAAGAGGAAGTTAACTTTGGCTCCATTTTGAGATACAAACCTCAGTTTAAAATCAGGGAGATATTTCTGGCGGATGGAGGAGAGACAACCATCTGCTGCAACAAGCAAATCCCCAACTATCTCAATGACCTCACCAGTTTTGAGAACTCTAGCCTTTATTATGACAGAACCCTTGTCATCTACACTATGGAAAGAGAGAAAATGGTGACCCCATAAAATTACATTTGGTGGCAGTGCATTATACAGAAGACCATGAAGATCAGCCCAATGTGCTGCTCTGAAGTTGAAACTCTCATCTCTTGTCAATGTTGAACTAACCTTCTTCTCACTATAAGTTACCTGGTTCTGCTCATGAAAAAATAATGATTATAAGATTTTTATTTTTATTTTTATTTTTTCTGAGAAGGACTACAGTTTCTCAAAGGATTCATACTTCAACTGTACATCAACATCAAAAGGGTTCCTTTTATTGGTTTATCCATGGAATATTCCATAACAAAGTCTTAACTACAACTAGCATTCTTTCAGAGAAACAAATAATAGAAGTTAATTTATGATCAATCTCTTGTCCCTTTGTCTCTTACAAGTCATATGTATAGTGCAGTATTCAGTTCAGTGAATCCAAAAATCATCTTCAGAATTCGGATAAACTAGTTCAGTTGATAACATTTGGCAATGAAAGACAGAAGTTACGAAGATATTACATATACTGAAGAAACTGCAGCCTATCACTCATGATTAAAACACAATCTTAGGAACACCAAATCAAGTGATACTCTGGAATAAGTAATGAATAAGAGAATCTACCTTCACTAGAGACAGCTTGCTAGGATTAAAAGTTAAAAAGAACAGAAACTAAGAAAAACTGAAGAATAAAGAAATTGAAGAGATTGACAAGTAATAGGGAACCTGAAAGCAAAAAGGGTGGCACCTGATCAATAGTTAGTGGTAAAGTTGTGTTATGTAGGAGTTGTGGCTGTGAAAGCCATGACTCAATGATTCGTTGAGACAAAGGGTCTAGTCCAAGACCTGCACCAGTGGGACTTCCTGTTGGAGGTGAAGTTGTTTTCTCAATCACAAGCACATCCCAACCAGCTAACGTTAGAGAGTGTGCACATGATATTCCAGCTATGCTACCCCCCACAATCACTGCCTTTGGCTTTTCTCCTTCCCCAACCATTTTTTTCTACTTTCTCTTGAAGCACCAAATTATCAGTCATATCATATGGACACATGGTCCATACATCTCCCCACACGAACAAAAAAAAAATCATAAGCACGTTTCTTCTAAGGATCTCATTGGGTCGAATCTTACAGAGCCCAGCTACACACTGCTAAATGTCCAGTCCAAATCCAATGAAAAATTTGACTACAATACAATTTAAAAAATTGTTTTTCACCAACACGTAGTTATTCCAACTTAATCGATCGATGATCTTGAGTTTCAATTTTGGGTATGTAACTGTATTAATAATTTGGCAGGGAGAGGCAGCTCTTACAGACATGTTGAGTTCGAATGGAAATAATTGAGTAATTGGCGTAAAAATAATATATACGTAGAAATAGGATCAACTTATATCTATATCGGTCTAAAAATAATAAGTTTTACATCAACTTTTGTGCATAGATTATAATTTATTAGAAATTAATAATTACTTAATGAGTGTGACCAAATAAATTAAAAGTGTTAGATATACGGAAACCAACGGTTAATATTTGGTATTAGATGTGTGTGTGTATATATATATATATAATTGTTTGATACTGGTGTCAAACTTTAAAATTTGACATCAAATCTTAATCGTTGATTTCCTCCAATCAACGATTATCATTTATTGGGAATTAATAGTTAATTAATAAGTTTGATTCCCAATAAATGATAACCGTTGATTTGACGGAAATCAACGGTTATGATTTTGTTTTTTTTAAGTTACTTTATATAAATTTGTCTAATGTTCAACGAAAAGATGTCGTTTTAGAGCAAAAATCATTTTTTATATATATATATATATATATATATATATATATATATATATATATATATATATATGAGGTAGGATCATTTGACAATAGTGTCAAATTTGAAATTTGACACCTCATCTGATAGTTATTAGATCAAAAAATATCAATGATGTCACATGCTTACAAATCAGAGTCGTTGATCTTTTTTGATCTAACGATTCTTAGATGTAGTGTCAAATTTCAAACTTGACACTAATATCAAAAGATCCTACCCCTCTGTCTCTCTCTATATATATATATATAGGTTTATCGTTTCCTATGTTACATGATATAACTGCAACCCTAAAACTAAGTTTTTGAGGATTAGGGAAAACATACTTCATTAATTTCCCTAAATAATATTAATCCCGTCATTTTGAAAATTTCAAAAATTATATTTTATATTTTAACCAGTTAACTCTCAAACCAATGCAATTTTGGAGTTGCATGACATAATTTGATTTTTCCCATATATATAAAAAATATTTTGCAGTTGTACGGCAAAAAATTGGTTTTTTCACAATAACACAATCCCCTTGTTGCATGCAGTGATCACCCCCTGTAATTAGCACCGCTGCACCGGTAATAATATTTGGTATAAGAATGGTTGTCTGAATAGTACTATTAACATGATTTTTTGATGCCATATTAAACAAAGATTGGAAAGTTATTATCCAATAGTATTTCGAATTGTAAATAAATTCAATCAATGGTTAATACAGGACATAAGAGTTGTAATTTACTCAAAAGTAGTAAATTTTTCCACTTTCCTATTTTGAAAAAACGCATTTTGCTCTTCTTAAAGAAATTCGGGATTTTTACCAAAAAAAAAAGAAATTCGGGATGACATGCCAAATAAAATGAATTTGGTGATAAAATTATTCATAATGACCAAAGTAGAGTTTGGAGCCCAAAGGCAGCACATCAATTATGGGAACCACCTTATTAGTGTACAAAAATAGTAAGAAGTCAATTTTCAATGCAGTGCAAAAATTTATACACCATTGGCAATCATCAAATGGAGGATGGAATTGAAGCAAGTGACAAAGGCACATCATTGAAAAAAGGTGTGTTCCTCTGTAGAAGCTCCTGGCAATCCTCTGGCCTTGCTGACTTGGGGTTAAAAGGTTCTCTATCAGGGAGAATCAGACCTTGTTTTATGCGTCCAAGATGTCTTGCATGCAGAACTTGCTTGGAAGTAACTGGTACCCTGATGAACTGATATTCTTCTAAAGCTGATTGTAACTTTTCTGCTCCAAACTTCTCTAGGCATTTGCCCAATACTGCAGCATCTAATATTGACATGTTTGTGCTTCTAAGGCAGTGAGGAGTAGTGGGGTGAGCTGCATCCCCTACTAAGACCACATTGTCCCAAAATATCTTTCCCAAGGGATCACCATCATATATGAAATTTAAGAATGGGTCTTTTGTTTCTTTCATGACCTTTACCAACTCAGGAATCCAAACTTTTTCTGCTTCTTGGTGCATCTTTTGGATCATGTCACCACTTACTTTCATTGTCACTGAGGTTCCCTAAAAAGTTTTCCCTCCAAAATTTCAATATACAATCAGCACTAGCTGATCTGGCAAAGGAAGCATGAATACACTGTAGATTTGAAGTCAAAATGGAGACTAATGGTATGTTTGATTATGTTCTGGTTTTTTAATTTTTAAAACTGTTTTATAGAATAGTTATAGAAATAGGTGTTAAAAGTCAAAACACAAAACAAAAACAATTCAGACATATTTTCTAAATTTGATTCTAAAAACCAAAAAATAGTTTCAATTTTTAATTTTTTTTACAAAACATGTCTTATAATGGATTTTTTGTTTTTTAATTTTGAAAACCAAAAAACTATTTTTAAAAATAGTATTCAATCAGCCTAAGATTTCCTATTATCCTGACAGCAAATTTAATTTACAGAACACGTAGGAATATGTTTTGGAATTGAAAAAGGACATAAAATTTCATTTCAGGAATTGCTTAGGGAAATTATCAATCCGGGTATCTCATAATAGGAGGAGTATAGAATGAGAGGAACAAAGTTACCTTAACTTCAGGTTCTGGCTGATTCACATACCAAATCCAATTGAGCTTTTTGTTTAGAAGCTCATAGAAGCCACTGTGTGTACCTGAGCCCATGTTAGAGTACAAGCATTTTCCTAAATCAGGGTATGCCTTTCTTATACCTATGATGGTATCTAAATTCTCAGTTTCTGAAAAATCAAGGACCCCTCTCCAAGAACAATATCCAGAATATCTGCAAAAGACACTAGAGCCTAAGAGGACCTACTTCAGTTAGAAGGAAAGTAGAAGTTAAAATCAGCTCCATTGTGAGACACAAACCTCAGTTTAAAATCACTAAGATATTTCTGGCGGATGGTGGAGAAAGAGCCATCTGCTGCAACAAGCAAATCCCCTACTATCTTGATGACCTTTCCAGTTTCAAGAACCTTAGCCATTATTATGACAGAGCATTTGTCATCAGCAACATGGAAAGAGAGGAAAAGGTGACCCCATAAAACTATATTTGGAGGCAGTGCATTGTACAGAAGGCCATGAAGATCAGTCCAATGTGCTGCTCTGAAGTTGAAACTCTCATCTCTTGTCAATGTCCAACTCACCTTCTTCTCACTATCAGTTGCCTCGTTCTACTCACCACACAAAAAAATAAAAAAATAAAAAAATCAATAAGCCACATGTCATATGTGCAGTGCAATATTCAATTCAGTGCGTTCACGAAGCATCATCAGAATTCAAAGAAACTAGTTGAGTTCATAATATTTAGCACTGTAAGACAGTTACATAGATACTGCATATAATACATACATAGAAAAGAGGCACTCAGAATTAAACAAATTTCAGTGCACCAAACACATCATGATAAGGTAAAAATAAATAAAATTAAAAATAGAAATGAAGAAAAGCTAGATAAGAAAGAAAAGGGTATAGAAGTAAAGGTGATTGGGAACAAAGACAAAGAAAGGGTGGCACCTGATCTATAGTTAGTGGTATGGTGATGTTGTGAAGGAGTTGTGGATGTGGAAGCCATGATTGAATGATTCGTTGAGATAAAGGGTCGAGTCCAAGACCTGCACCAGTGGGACTTGTAGTTGGAGGTGAAGTTGTTTTCTCAATCACAAGGACATCCCAACCAGCTAATTTGAGAGTGTGTGCACTTGATATCCCAGCTATGTTACCCCCCACAATCACTGCCTTTGGTTTTCTTCCTTCTCCAACCATTTTTCTCTACTCTCTTTAAGATTTTTAGATTCCAAAAGCTGTCAACTTCATGTTTTGTGTCTGATTCATAAGACAGATAGATGCATATGCACAAGGTGATATGATAAACTTGACTCTTTTAATATCCTTATTTTATGAAATAGTAGAGGCTAAAAACTTACGATATTTTTGGTACCAAATTGGGGAAACAGATTTGTAATTTTGTACTGTAAGGTGTTGCATATATTCCATAATAATAACAACAGCGACCATCAAATGATATTAGTTGAGTTGGTGGAACTGAATGGAAAGGTGAGAGCATATATTCGATCTTTCAATACTATTTTTGGAAAAAGTTTAAAACCCTACTCCCAGAAATCGCCCTGAATTAGACTAGTTACAGAGGAACGAACAGATTAAAATATCTAAAAATAAATAATAATAATAATAATAATAATAGCATGATGGGTTTGGTTTGGCAACTCTTTGTTGGACTTGTACCTAGTTTTTGGCATTTTTATTTTATTGGGCCTCAGCCCAATCCTGACTTGTGGAGCAGTTTCTTTTGGAAAGAAAGTCGAAACAGTGACTATTTTGTCACAAAAAAATTACTAAATTGTCAAGTTAAACACGTGAGATAATTCTCAGCGAAATATGCTTACAAATAATTCGCTACACAGTGTAGCTAATTATGCAGTGTCAGAATGCACAGTCAGCAAAAATGACATGTGTCAAGCAGGTAGTAATTTGCTACCCTGTGTAGCATATTATGTTCACGAATCATTTTTTGATATGTAAAAAAGCTGACGTGTCATAATTCGCTACCACTGATAACAAATTTGGTCTGCAATATGATCACGTGTCACGAAATTTGGTACTAGTGGTACGCCTCACTTCAATGAGCGTGGAACACGCGCCAGCTCAATTACTCACGCTCTGTCGCTCTTCTTTCACTGTTTCTCCTACTACAATGCGACGCGCTCCTCCGGCTATCAATTTGCTCGCCACCGACGCAGCCTCCAGAATGTCTTCGCGACCGCCTGTACTCTCTCTCTCTCTCTCTCTCTCTCTCTCTGTCTCTGTCTCTGTCTCCGATGCACTTCATAGTAAGAAAACATCAGTGCGCTCTGAAAGTTTAATGCTCTTTTTTTTTATTCCAGCACAGAGGACGCGGCAGAGGATTCGCCGGCCGGTCATACTCCGCCGGGAGAGGCCAGTTCGTTTCCGGCGACGCGCACTTCTGGTCGGTCCGTGACGCCAATTTGGGATTCCGGCGTGGGGAGAGAGGAAGCTTCGCGAACCAAACGCTGCATCATCAGACTCCACCTTATGATCCGAGGCCTCCACATCCGCCGCTTTACCATCAGAATCCTCAGTTCCGTCACCCTCCGCCACAGTTTCGGCCTTCTCCGCCGTCTGTTCACCGACAAGCATTTCGTCCGCCTCAGCATCTTCGCCCGCGGCCTCCGGATTATCGAAACTGGGAGCTTGCACCGACGCCGCCACCTCCTCCTCATTGCGGTAACTTCACTGCTATGCGGTGTGATTGTGACTTCAGTTTCAACCTTAGGGTTTATGAAGAACTGTTTTTCTTGCATAGCCTGAACATGAATCTTTGAATTCCCGTTGTTGCTACATTGCATTGTTCAATGTGTCAGATTATGAAAAAGTGATGTTGAGTGGTTATCTGTAAGTTGTCGTGGAGCAATCACGTGCTTTTTGATGTTAATTTTTGTTTGTTCAAGAAATCAACGCCAATAGAGAACAACCTTTTAGATACATGGTTTGATAAAAGGCTCTTGCTTCACTTTTTAGACACATCTTTTACTAAAAATGTGCCCAAAGTAGGAGCTGAATCTATTACACAAATGAAAATATTGTAAAGCTTTGATGATTTGGCAAGTGAGAGGAGGATAGGCTTGAGGTTGATTATTTTTCAGTATTCCCTCTCCTACTCTTTGTTGCTCACAATTGATTGCTTTGGTATTATACATCATCAGACTAATTTAGCTTTTTTTTCCCCTATGCTCAACAGAACGGTTTATTGTTCTTTCGTATAATATATTGGCTGACTACCTTGCTTTGGACCACCGGAACAAACTTTACTTTCACATACCTCATTACATGTTGGACTGGCAGTGGAGAAAGAGAAATATAATTTTTGAGCTTGGGTTGTGGTCTGCCGATGTCATGTGTTTACAGGTTATCAATCTGTTACATATTACACAACAATGCTTACTCCTTGCTAAATTATGCTCAGATAACATGTTTGTCATCATATGCTGTTGTAAAATTTGGTTTGGTTTGTATAATAATCATGAGATGAACCACGGATGTTGTCCTTGGCCATATCATTTTAAGAGAATAATATATTGCATGAGAGATCCTTCACTTAAAATTGTTGATGGCAGACTAGGGCTTAATTCTCATCACTTATTCTACCTCATTTTCCAAAAAATACTTTAGAATTAGATTTGTTTCCAAGTTAGATTTATGCCTTTGGAATTTTAAAATTTTTCTCAAGCTGCCTTTATTGATCATATGATCAGTAATTCTTTATTGTTTTGGGTACTGCATTTGGAAAATCTGATTGACCCTAGAATTAGAAAGATTATTCCCTTTTGATTTCATATTATCACTTCCAGGAGGTTGATAGATTTCATGAGTTAGTGGAGGAGTTGAAGCTTAAGGGATACCACGGCATCTGGAAGGTGGGTTAGAAGTGCTATTTGTCTTAAGGTTACATGACATAAACACTCCTATTCTGAACTTTTCCGTTCAATGCTGCTTATGCCATTTCTTATAAGCATCTGTTTGTTTCTGGTATGAATTTATATAGAAGTTCTTTAAAATGTCATTGTTTTTATGTGTATGTTATGATCAGAATGTTAGATGTTACATGATATTTTGTCTACCATTAAGAATTCAAAAGATATATAGTTCCCTCTCATCTGGCCTTATAGGTCTATGTTATCTTTTGGAGTAGAAATACTGTCATTAGCTAGTTAGAGACAAGTATGTTTTTACTTGATGAGCACATTTTCATAATTGTGCTGCACCATTTGATTGATAGGTTGGCTACATTTTCACTTCTACAATATGATCATCAAGTTGTGACTTAGTCATGTGAAGTGACCTATCTTCAGCGTCTTCACTTTTCAGCAGTATTTTTATTTTTCTTTTGATATAATTATCCTCATTTTGATTGGTTATGTGAATTATTTTTTGAAAGAAAAATAAACAGTTCTGTTGCAATATGAAGTCTAATAGCATTTCAGTCTACTTATAGATGCGTACGGGAAATCCAGTTGATGGCTGTGCAATCTTTTGGCGAACATCAAGGTTCTCTACTGCTCTGGGTGCTACTTGCTACTTATTAAAACTATTTCTCATTAAACCTTGATTAGCGAGGGTAGGGGTTAGGGCAATTCTTATCTTCTTGCTACTTATTAAAGTGGGATATATTCTCATTGCTAGTGATTAAATGTTCACTGTATTCTCACGCATACCATTCTTGTTGAGCTTGTTTTTTTACCTCACAAAATTATGTGTATTTTGTTATATTTTATTTATGTGTGTGCTTTTTGATCCTTATTTGGCCTGTACAATTTTAATACCTTAGAATGATACCATTGAAGTGCACTAGTCTTCAATGAAATGGTGTGTGGAAATATGATGTCTAGTCTTGTCATCTCAAAGATGTTATTTCATTCAGTAACATGTTCTTGACAAATTGAAACCAGTACTCCTCTGGTACACCTTGAGTAATTGTGGGGTTTTTTTTATATATTTTCTTGTGATCTTGTTGATACTTGATACCACTGTCTCATTTTGCGCTTGTATGGCATTGTTTATGTTATTTTTCCCATATATATGTTGTATATATGTATATTGGGGGGGAGGATTTTGTTTGTAGTTTTCTTTATTTAACAATTATTATTCTCATTTATCCTGATTTATCATAGGTTCAATTTGTTATATGAAGAATGCATTGAGTTTAATAAGCTGGGACTTAGAGATAATGTCGCTCAAATATGTGTACTAGAGGTACATTCGTACTTTCATTCTTTCCATTTGCCTCATTCAATTTCTGTTGAGATAAACCAAGGATCTTTAGTTATCTTACTTTTCACCCCTTTATTGATGCCCTTGTATTTCTTTCCTATATTTTACTTCCTTGAACAGCTCATTAATCAAAATGGATCTGTCCCACCCAGGTAATTACTCCTTTTTTGGCTAGTTGGATTTTTATATTTCTTATTATGTATTCATTGTTTTTGAGAAAGTGGAAGAGTCTTAAGTTCTATGTAGTATGTAATACCTTATGTTTCCTACTGAAAGAGCCTTGCTATTGTTGGATATACCTTAATAGGTAAGAACTAAGATAGTCTGAAGCAAAGCACAATTACTTGCATGTTGGAGATTTGAAGTTGAGTGTAAGCTGGGCTAAAAATTTCATTCATTGATTAAAAAATATTTCTAATTTATGCAGTTTAATTGATCATTACTATGGTATAGTAAGAAAATAAACTACGTTGCATACGTTAACAATACAACAAAATTTCTAAAAACTAGGGTACGGGTGCAGGAGGATGTATTGCATAAAAATAAAAACATAAACAATTAAGTAATTAAATCATAAGATAAATACAATTTCTATTAATGTTCTAACTCGTGTTTTCAACAAAACTCCATGATGTATATCAAGTAAGCAAAAATTTCTAGAAAGGACACAAAGGGGTGAAATAGTAGTTTGTTTCATTTAAAAGCAAAACAAACAACTTGGTAACCATAGTTAGTGTTTTGCATGGATTGGCTTGTACTTGAGTGATATTGGCTCGTTGCAATGCTTGAACAAGATGTACTCAAATGAATTTGATAGTGAAATTTGAGGGGAAATAAAAAGTATTGGGTACATAACGAATAAGTTCCTGTACCAGCGAGGTACGGCAACCATTTAGAGTACCCATTCATCTTGAAAGTAATGCCCCCTGCTTGTTCAACAGTAAGAAAACCTCAACCTCCACTTTAACCCCTTTGAAGAAAGATCTGCCCAGCACCTCACCGGTCCCACAAAAAGAAAAGAGAAACAACATTGCAAAATATTGAGGGAGCCTAATGACACATGCAAAAAGTCATTTTATTTTATTTTAGATTAAAGGCTGAAATTCAAAATGAATCACTGGAATGTTGTTTCAATTAAGGTCAACATAATTGTGATCTTGTTTGAAAAGTTTGGAAGGTCTTTCTCTAATATTGACATTGTGTTGTGAAATAGGTTCACGAGAGTATTTTATGCTGTTGACATAAATCTCTAGAATGGTGCATGAGGTCATGGGATTATTTGAAATGAGCTTTAATTGTATTACGATGTGTGCAGCTTTTCATCATAGCCTTATGGGCTTTGTTTTCATTTTTTAATTATTATTCATTTTTTATTAAGGTTATTTTTATATGCTCGTTATAACATAAATGTAACATTCTGCAGCTTGACAGGTTCTAGTAAAGTTGTGATTTGTAACATTCATGTGCTTTACAATCCTAATAGAGGAGAAATTAAGCTTGGACAGGTACGTACTTTCTGCTTGACATAACACTTACCTGTTTTGATAAAGCCCTCTGTGCATCTGTTACTGTTCTGTTTTGGATGCATCACTATCTAATGTCATGAAAATGCTCTTCAATTTGATGTAATTGATTCTACTTTCTGCATTCTAAATTTATTCTGAATTTTTTGTTCCTTTTTTGATTTTCTTTTAATCCATTTCCTCCTCTGTTGCCATCAATGCAGACTGCATGCAAATGGTCATAATGCTTTCTATTCGTAATTTAGAAGGCTTAGTAGACTTGTAATTGTTCACATACTAAGGCCTCTGAAATATGATATAATTCGTGTTTTCAATCATATTCTGTTTTCATCATAATATCATATATTCCAGTCATATATTTGAAACATTGGTTTCTGGTTTATTGAATCCAGTGAGACTGTAAGAGGATTGCTTGATATGATCTTATTTTTAGGCATCAGTGTTCAACCTACAACTATTTTAGAACTATTGATGTATGTGTCTTCATCAAATATCAAATTGTCCCACAATAATTGCCAATTCAGTACAGGAACTAAGGACCCTTAAATGTATGTCATTTGACTAAATAATGAATTCGGATAACTTTTGTCTCTTCGGTACTTCTGTGAACACTGAACAGTATATCCTGTCTCATCTGACCCTGATTCTTTTGGTATTTGAACTGGTAATATGATGTATTAACAGCTGGCTCCATCAGCTGCTGCAGTGTCTAAAATATGACTTCAAATTCTTCTTGTAATTGCTTTCTTCTTTTTATTTACTTCAAGCAGGTCAGAGTGCTATTGGACAAGGCTGAAGCTGTTTCTAAACTCTGGAATAATGCACCTGTTGTTATCTGTGGGGATTTTAATTGTACCCCTAAGGTTATTTTTTCTATTATGCCTTTTCACTATCATTTTGCAAAATGTTATCAGTTATCACAGCCTATATGACATTAACATTCTTTATCATGTCTCAGAGTCCATTGTACAACTTTATCTCAGAACAAAAGGTATACCCCTTTAGTTCTTTACTTCCTCTGACTTTGATGATTGACACATACAAAGCACAAAAATGATATTTTTATATTATTGCAGTTAGATCTGTCTGAAATAGATAGGGATAAGGTATCAGGACAAGCTTCTGCTATAATTCGAGCACCAAGATTCTATGATCGTAATTCTAGGTAGGCTTTTGCATTTGATACGTTTATGTGATGAGATTTGTTGAATTTCTTTTCTTTATCAAGAAATATGTGCTAAAATCTTTCAAAATAATGCAGTGAAAGATCTGCTACTGGATCTGTTCAGGCCGCATTCACTGAAGGTGACAAGGAATTTAATATTGAACAAGATAATTCTCTGTTGGACATGCAGAATCCGGACCCTAAGAGTGACAATTCGGATAATCAATACACTCAGGCTGTTTTGGATATTTCTGATAAGTCTGGAACAAATGTGCAGTGTGGAAAGGAGAGGGATGCTTATGCAGGAAAAGACACTCAGGAAACTGCTGCTGTTGATCATTCCAAGATTTTTGGTGAAGTTGATTGTGTACAAGAAGAACGAAATCCTTCTTATAGTGATGGTAGGGAGGCTACTGATCATATAAATGGTGAAGTTCATGACATCACACCGATGACCTCTTCAGCTCTTGAAGCAGTTCACATTGATACAACTGGGATGGGCAGCACAGAACATCTATCAGATGCTGTTTCAACATCAAATCAAGAATTATTAAGCAAGAAATCCAACTTACATGTCCCTGAAGGAAATAAACATATTGAGTTTGACTGTTCCCCAACCTCTCTCCAGGAAGACGATCAAACTTCCAGGGTGAAGATAGATCTTGAGTCAACAGATCTTCTCAATATAGAAATTTCTTCAACTAAACCATCCGACCAGACTTCAATTTCCAGTGCTTTTGATTTCCCTCATCCTAGGTATATAGAAAGCCCAGCTTGTGAGGTCAGTACTGATGACCAAATGAACACCTCGTCAACCTCACATGTAATTGACGAATCACATCAATCCACCAACATTGACTTTCCACTAGATGAAAAACTAGAGAAATCATCCCTTGATGAGACAGATAAAGCCATTATAGGCAGTGAAAATATTGGCGAAGATGTCAACTCTTTCATATCTGCCTTACATAACGCCGAAGGTGTCACTCTTGATCTTGGGCCATCAATGAAATCAGATCATGAAAAGCCATATCAGTTTGAGGAATTAAATTTTGCTTCCAACAAGTTGTTGCCGCCTGCAGAAAGCAGTGAAGTGGAGGATGACTTATCTCCAAGTCCAACTTCCAAATCTGTAGATTTAGAGGAAACTACTTATAATCCATCATTGTGGACCCCTATGGAGATAGAAACTGCAACAGGAAATGCTGAGCGCACCTTCTTGGAGCACCCTTTACTGCTTAGGAGCACATACACTGAAGCTATGGTAGATCTAAAAGGATTGCTTGCACATATTTTTTTTTTAACTTCTCTTTTATAGGACAAGCTGACACATCTTACACCTCATATTACTGTAATTTTAATATTGCTTTTAATTTGCTGCTCTTTCATATTATTATCTTATTGTACTTGGCACTTTGCATACGTGCAGGATTGTTCGGGGACTAGAGACCCCTATGGAGAGCCCCTGGTGACCAGCTATAATAGGTGCTTTTTTGGCACTGTTGACTACATTTGGTAGGTGCTAAGCTCTTAAGATTTTTCTACTATTGTTTTGATCTCTTTTGCTGCTTATTTTATTTTGAGTTGTAAAATCACAATAAGTATACCATCAAAAAGTGTAATTGCTGAAATTCTTGTAGCTGTGTAATTTTTTTCCATTGGCATAGATATATTTGAGTAATATTTAGCATTCAAAAGAGTTGATTTTACATTGTGTGCTTAGCTCTGAACAAAAGTTGATAGAAATATACTTTTTCTCTTGATCTGTGGCATAGGCGATCTAATGGTCTGCAAACAACCAGAGTTCTTGCTCCAATACCTAGACATGCCATGGAATGGACTCCAGGATTCCCAACAAAGGTAAGAATAAGTTTGTCGTTTTTTGGTGAAAGTTAGCAGATGGATAGATTTATATGCCGGCTTTCTTGGAATTTTTTCTTCTCTTGTTATCATTATGATGATGTTAACCACATTCTCAGGTGAAGAGGCTTTTAAGGTTATGACTTCAAAGCCGATTCTTTCGATAATATGAACACTGCCCTCCACATTCTCATGGGGAGGGTGTGTGCACTTATCCCCTGCTTGAGTAGACCATGTTTCAATACAATTTATGGGCTTGAATTATACTTTGAAAAATAGTGTTTTGATTTTTAGAAAAAAAAAAGACTCGTTTGATAAGGCCTGTTTTGTAAAAATAGTTTTAAAAATTATAGCTGTTTTTTAATTTTGAAAATCAGATTTAGAGAACATGTATAAGTTGTTTTTATTTTGTATTTTGACTTTTAACTTTCAAAACAAAAAAAAATACAGAAAATATCTATTTCATTAACTATTCTACAAAAACAGTTTTAAGGGGAAAAAAAAATTAGAACACAATCAAATAGACCCTACATTTCCATGATATGACGAGTTGTGGGTTCATAATTGAAATGGTCTTCTCTCATATATAATGTCCCTGATTACTTGCCTTGATTTTACTATTGCTGCTTGAAATGTGTAACTTTTGATTCTTTTTAAGTTTTTTTTTCCCCTAATTGTGTACAGAAATGGGGTAGTGATCATATTGCCTTGGTTTCGGAGTTGGCCTTCTTGAAAGATGGTACGGACATCAGCAAGGATGTTTAATAGCGTCTTACTTGGTAACTTGTGGGCCTTTGCTGAGACGTATTTCCTTGTAAATAAAAAAAATTATATTGATCCTCATGTCAAATCTGTACATTTAGAAATTTTATGCTCATGATATACGAGTCTGTATGATTTTGATTTTTGAGCTGTTAGTCAACTGGTTAAAATGGAATGGAGTGTGATATCAGATTTAGAGTTGTCATTTTCTCTAGAATAATGCTGTAATAATCAAGTTAGTTTTATCTTAATATGTGCTTTACGACGCTGTAAGAAATTCAATGACTAAGTGTAAGTTTCTGAGTGTGGGGGGAAGAGAGAGAGAGATGTTTAATTCTCATTACTCTTTTCGAATGTTTTGGTAGAAGAATTTTTACCGTAGTTCACGACATACGGATCAGGGATGCTTTACTCGCTGTCACTATTTATATTCCTCTCTCGTCGAGCTCAAATAAAACAGTAACAGCAAAGTGTATATTGCCAAACTACATATGTATTGGGAAATCAACTTCCACTATAAGAACAATACCAATTATTAGCCATAGACGAAAATAAAATTATAGGCTAATATTGAGTAGATAATAAGTTAGATTAGCCGTATAATTTGATTCATACAGACATGACACCCAGACAAAATGTTTAACCGACGAGAACCATATTCTAACATAAAATCCTAGAGCCCTAGACGGATAGTATCATCTAGCATGCAGTACCATAGCACAGAAGGCAACACGACAGTGAATACTATTCAAATAAGGAAATCAGAAAATTTCAGATTACTTCAAAAGGATGGTTCAAACAAACTAAAGCAAGGAGAAAATTATCCAAAAATCAGGATATCATCAAATTTACAGTAATATTCATCTTCTTTTTCCCCCTCATTCCTTTGAAGACTTGTTGATCAGAGACTTGTGGATATGAGGAATAACACCACCACCAGCTATTGTTCCTTTAATGAGGGTGTCAAGTTCTTCATCTCCACGTATAGCAAGCTGTAGATGTCTTGGGGTAATACGCTTCACCTTTAGATCCTTGCTTGCATTGCCCGCCAACTCCAACACCTCTGCAGTTAAATACTCCAAGATGGCAGCTGAATAAACTGCAGCTGTTGCCCCAACTCTTCCATTGGCTGTCACCCTTGACTTCAGAAGACGATGAATACGTCCAACAGGGAACTGTATCAAATGAAATTCATGATGACACACCAGAGGACATGAAATGAATTGCAATTATACTAACAAACTAGAGACTATTAAAAAAAAAGTTCATCATGATTTGCACCAATACTCCACAAATTTCAGCATGCCCAAAACCTGAACAAAATAATTACACAATTCCAAGAATAAAAGAAATGCATTAATCAACTCACTTGCAACATTGGTTCACAGCCCCTTCACCATGTGCACAGCCACACAGAACAGGGAATACAGAGCAAACATGCTATCTTCGATTAGGTCTAGTTGACTACATTCTTCATATATAGTCATATAAATTATTACATTTATATAAGATAGACATTGCCAGCCTTATGTTTTATCTAATAAAAGAAGAAATTCAACAAGACGGAAAGAAATTAGGAAATTGGAAGATATGGATACTCCACAATGAAAAAAAAAAACGAAACCCTTAAAATGATCATGACCTTTACACGAAATAGAAGCTAATTAACTAATTTTAGCTCAAATCAGCTGCTCAGCCAAACAAACCTTAAAAAGATGTGTTACACTACAACCAAATGCATTAAATAGTAGCGTGTCATTGGCATAAAAATTTAGACACCTTACTTCTACCAGAATCATTAAAGCCAGCAACAAAAACTGGTCCAAGGTACACCCCCAACATTAACCAAAACGGTCCAAAAAATCTTCTTAAAAATACAAACACTTCACCCCAACCAAATGCACCAAATAGTAGTATGTAATGCACATTGACTGAAAGTTTAGCCTCCTTACCTCTACCAAAAATCGTTAAAGCTAGCACACGAAAATCAGTTCAAAGACCAGGGAACAATAAACATCAACCAAAAAGGCCAAACAAAGTATTCCATAAAGAAACAGTAGGAGAAAGATGTAAGAACAGATGAGGGACCAATGCTGAACAAGTACCAGCTTTATTTTATAAACCCTCAGACCATTGCATGAAAAACAATTAGCCTCCACGTTCACAAGGGTTTTGCATTCCAGAGAATAGAAGTAAGATAAATATAACTCAATCCAGGGCCTAATATTAATTAAAACTCCAAGGAAATTACAGAAATGGAACTAAATGGACCTGACAATTTAGAAGCAAACTGCCATAAAAACAAGATAACAAAGAACTAAAAACATAGTAAAAGGGACAGATGCTGATTGATCCCTTTCCAACAAACCATATACACCATCAATATAACACAATAATTACCAGATGAATAGCAGCAACTAATTCTCACATTCAGGGTATGCTTGGTTAAGTAAATCAAAAGTGGGTCGGTGAAAATTTGAGAAAGGAAATAACTTTATAGACTTCCTTGGTACAACAAAATACGACAAGTTGTAAAATAAAATGTACCTCAGGAAGGAACTAGTTGAACTACTAAAGTACCCAAGTTGTCCTTTCCCTCTACTAAAATATATTTTCCTATCAAAATTAAAAAAAAAAAAAAAAACGAAAAAAAAAAAAACTCAATCCTTTGGCAAAGTGAGACAAGTTAAATGTTGTAAACATGCGGATCGAAAACAAAAGAGAAACAAAAGAATGAAAAAGTTAAAAACTTGCGAGCGTTGAATAAGTAGGAAAGACAAAAAGATGAAATTAAAAACCTGAAGACCAGCTCTGGATGAACGAGAAGTAGGTTTCTTCTTATCCTTGTCTTTGGTGGATGCTGGGGTTTTACCAGTTATCAACCCCTTTGCGCCTTTCCCCGACATCTCTCACTTCAACTACGCTTCTACCTTACCCTTCACACGCACGCACACAGTGTGAGAGAGAGAGAGAGATAAAGGATCGAACTTTGGGCTTCTTTCTCTTATTTTCTTAGCTTCCGAAGGAACATAATATTACATTTCCTAAACCACCCTCACCTCGTTTCCTGTTATTACCGGAAATACCACTGTCGTTTCAATTACTATTTCTTTTCAATAAATAAATTTCAATTACTATTTGGGAAAAGTCTATCCGATTTCAAATGATGTAAAGTTGTGTCATTTTAGATGAAAAGAAGAGATAGATCACAGGAAAGAGAGTAGACAAAAAAATCTATGTGGATTCCATCTCTTTGTGAGAAATAAAATGACATAAATTATATCATTTAAAAAAAACAAATATTTTGTTTACCAAAAAAAAAAGGACAAATATTTTTTATAATATTTATTATGTTATGTATTACTAATTTACTACCATTTGGTATTTGGACTTGGACTCTGTCCGTATATGCATCGAATTGGGCCTGGGCTGTTTGTCTAGTTCCCTCCATTACACCTTCATTTTTCAATATGGCTCCTTGCCGGTCTTAATATGTAACGAAATTGAAAAGGTCCAAAGGGCATTTATTTGGGGGGATTCTTCTAATAGAAGGAAGCCTCATTTGGTTGCTTAGGGAAACCTGTGTACCACGCGGAAGAATGGGGGATTAGGCATCATCAACCTGCAGGCCCGTAACAAAGCTTTTCTGCACAAAGTCGCTTGGAAGTAGATCAACAATAAGGATGACCTATGGGTCCAGGTTCTATATGGTAAGTATGGCAGAAACGCTGATCTGAGAAGGCATATCAAGAATGCTAGCTATGATTCCAACCTCTGGAAGAGTATTTGTGCCATCTGGCCAGACTTTATTAAAGTGGGGATTGGGAAACGGTCAAGACACTAGTTTCTGGCATGATAACTGGACAAACTTGGGTAAACCTCTGTTGGAGCTCGCTTGCAGGCCTTTAAATTTGGAGGAGATGCAATGGAAGTGTGCTGAGGTGGTGGACGGAGCGTCAGGTGAGTGGAACTTGGCTTTGATCAGAAACTTCATTCAGGATGATGCTATTGATCATATCACGTCAATCCTTCCCCCATCCTTTGACAGAGGCCCTGATCAGCTTATTTGGAAGAATCTAAATACTGAACGTAGTATAGTGAGTGTAAGGCTTATAATAACATCATGGGCTTTCATTCGCTGGCCCAAGACCCGATCTGGGATACCGTGTGGCATTGGGCTGGGCCTTTTAGGCTAAGGAATTTTTCCTGGCTGGTTCTTCATGGGCGAATCTTGACCAAGGAAACTACGTCAAAATGGGGTGGGTCTCCATTCTGTCATTGCTATGAGGGAGATTCAATTCATCCGTGCTAGAAGAGAGAAGAACCGCATTGCTAACTGGTTCGCGAAATTTCCCTGTAATATCGATGATGGACTCGTTATTCATCATGTCCCCCCTTGCCTTGGGGCTTTTGTTGACAGCTGAGGCTGCTGTCCCCGTTTCTTAATTCGTCAGGTGTTTCTTTTGGGCTTTAGCCCCGTTTTGCTTACAAAAAAAAATAATAATTAAGGGTTGTATTGAATTGGGATTTTAAAAAATTTTAATAGATTGTTTTGAACAAAAAAAAATATTTGTGTTCAATCAAAATTTTAAAAGATTTTAAAAAAGTCACGTGCTATTCGATTAGAATTTTAAAATATTATTTTAGAGTCCGTCCAAATCCGGTGATATTCAATTAGATTTTAAACAAAGAAAAAACAATCTTGTATTATTCAAAAATATGACAATTTTAATGGATTTTGTGATACTTTGAGAAGTATAAATAGCATGTCTCTGTCACAATCTCATTCTAATTCTTGATATTTCTTGAGATTTTTCTATCGTAGTGTCTCACAATCTACTCTAGCATTTTCTCAAAGCCAATATATGTTCTTTTCTTTATTGAAATGCCGCACTGAAAAGAAGAGTCGCAATAAGGTAGTAAATCCGAATATGAAGGGAATTCTACTTTAGTTGGGACCAACAATCAAGCTAAAATTTTAGAAAATCTTTCAATTTGCATTGGGACTATTGTTAGCAATTTTGAAAAAATATCTAACCGAATGGAGAAAAGAGATAGATATATAGAAAAGAGAAAGTAATATTTTGGATGACATAAAAGACATTCCAAATTTGGATGATAAAACTCGGTTCTTGGCAATTGATTTGCTTAATAATAAAAGAAAGAAGGACTTGTTCTTAAGCATGTCATTAGAAGAGCGCGTTTCTTGGGTAAATTTCAAGCTATGATGATTAATATTTTGATCATGCTATCCTTACAAGAACTACATTTTTATGCTATTTTGGTTGTAATTTGGTTGAAGTATTTGGGTTATAATTTGGTTGAAGTATTTGGGTTATAATTTGGTTAAACAATTTATTGGTCGTATTTTTATTGAATTATTTCAGTTATTCATATGGGATTTTCTTGTTAAATTATTATCCTTTCATATTGATTGAGAAAATTAAATTAGGTTTTACTTTTTTTATTAAAATATCATTGCATTTATTTGTTATTTTTTCATTGAACAATGCATGTTGTTTGGCCGATTTATTTTTCTTTGTAGTGTTTTCTTCAGTTTTATACTTGTATTATGTAATATGTGATAATTGAATAATTGGGATTTAGGGTTCCACATCTCAATTATGGGACATTGAAGCAAGTGTCCCCTATACGAAGAATATGGACTAAATTTGATTTGTGTGAGAAATGTCACTCTTAATGTCGCATTGAATGTATGATCGTCCAATAACTAAACTGATTGAGTTTAATTAATGAAAAGGTATTTGGGTGCAATTACTCATGTCTGAACCAATTGAACCTTTCATCTCACCTGGACTTTATTCCCAAAAATCAGTAATCATGACCACTTAAAGAGAACAAAATGGACCACCACATTGTTCAGTAAGAAAGAGGCCTAATACACTAGAAGTGAAGAAGCCATTTGAACAAAAAATGAAGTCAAGGTGGTATGGGGACATTGAATCTTCTAATCATGATGATGATGAGTAGATGCTAGATCAAGACAATGACAATGAAATGGAGGAAACTATGGCTTTGGATGAAGACGAAGACGATGGGAACACAAAAGACGAAGAGGCACAATGGTGGGAGGAAGAAAAAGAGGAGGGGAACGTGGATGATGCCTCCTAGGCTGACTTTAGTTATTTTAATTATTTTTTTATACTGATCCTAATTATAAGTCGGCTCTACCAGGTTTTCATTTTTTTGAGTTGGTTATGGGATTAAGGGCGTGTATGACAACCTTTTCAAAATTAGTTTTTTATTTATTTATGTTCCCGGGAACATAAATGAATAGAAAACTAGTTTGGTAAAATCGATTTATTTTTTTTGTTTTTGGAACGAACTTGTTTAATTTTTGTGTTAGGGAAAAAAATCAAAAAATTTCTATTTTTTTTGTTCCCGGGAACAAAATAAGAAATACTTGTCTGTCTTAATCACTCTCTACCATTACCGTCGTCGTCGTCGTCATCATCATTGTACCACCAATGCCGTCATTACAACCACCACCACCATCACCACCACCTCTACCCATCGCTTTCATCTCTACCACCATTACCTTTACCGTCACCAATCACCACCACCACCATCGCCCGCACTACCACCTCATCCACTAGCCACTGTCATCACCACCACTACCACCACCACCATTGCTTCCACTATCACGTCATCACTACCACCACTGCCACCAACCACCACCACCATCGTCACAGTCACTACTGTCACCATCACCACCACCACCACTAACATCACCACGCCACCGCCGCCGTTGCCACCACCACCAAACCATGTGGAAATGAAAGTGATGATCCGAAAAAAAATTATGCTTAATAGGAATTATTTTTTATTTATATTATTTGTTGCTTTATCAAACACAATTATAATTTTCAGAATAAAAATATAACATGTTATCAAACATAGTCTGCATCATTTTGACGGCAACATTTTGATCGTCGAATTATGCTTTATCATCAGGATTGCAACTGTCAAAGGTTTTGACGGCAACATTTTGACCGTCGAATTATTACTTATGATGACAAAATCTTCGATGGACTTGTCGTGGTGGCAAAATTCGTAAGTGAATATGATTTCGATGGAAATGTGCTCAATTTTAAGTAAAAAATGTCCATAGTTGAAATGGATATTTCTAGTAATGTAATAAAATGGAATGAAAATTGATTGAATGAATTTTATTCCATTTCATCCAACATCATTATTTTTTTCTCTTTCTTCTAATTTAGGGTATGGAATGAGAATAATTCATTGTTCACTAATCTTTTTACCATTTCTCCAACTTCCCAAATAAATGAATTAAATTTTTTATAAATATTTTTGTTAAATGATTACGTGGAACTAAACTTTAAATAAGTGAGGCCGTAAGCCCTTAATGGATTGTCTGGTTTTTTTTCGCTTCTAACACCTTAAATGCTATTTTTCCCTTCTTCTTCTTTGATACACATAAGGGGCATCCCCAAAACACAAAGATAAGAAAAAAAGCAGAAATTAGAAAGCAAAATAATTGAACAAGACAGAAGACAGAAACAAAAAATCATCCGGTGCAGCAGCCAAAGGATGACCCAAGAATTCCATCGCGTCAGCATGTAGTAGCTCAGATAATAGAATATTAAGGCCAAAAATCAGTGAGATACCCCCAAAACCAGAAAGAGCACCTTTAGCTAAATGATCGAACAAAGGGCAATAAGTCTGAATTGATTAACTCTCTCAGGTTTAAGAACCTTAGGAATGAACACCAATAAGGTTTTGTTAATCATCTTGATATCTTTCGAACTATTCCAAAAATGAGAGATAGCAACCAGGGACTGTGCACTAATGATATCCCAATTTGTTTGGAAAAATAAGGTAGGGAAACCACTAGGCCAGGGGCTTTAAGAGGACCCATCTTCACAAAGGCATCATGAATGTCTTTAGGAGATATAGAAGCTGACAAGAGGTCTAAATCATGCTTGTCAAGTGTAACATCCCGTTC